CCACCCAAGCCCACCAACATCACCATCTCAACCAGTCCTTCCACCCTGCCCTCCCTCTTGACCCTGCCAGCCCCTGCCCCAGCCCAACCCCACCAACCCAGCCACCACCCATCCCCATCCTGCCCACCCCAACAGCCTTTCCTCCCCACCTCCACCCCCCTGCCATGGACAACACCTCCTTTGAGGTCACAGCCTGTAGGTTTTTTCCTCTACCACTGCAGGATAAGCAAGAGAACAGTATCTGGTCTGGAGGTGGTGGTCATCTTCCTAGGGCACTGCTGCTTTCAGTTGGCTTGAATCTATCAATCAGTTTTGTCCTGAATTAAGCCCTAAGGACAGGGAGGTTTGCAGGGTTAATCCTGTTAGTTTGTTTATGTGAAGGAGATGGGCAAAGTGGAAAATTTTCCCTCCTGTAAGTGCTAGTTTAATGGTATTATGATATCTTACAGAGGATGTACAGTAAATGTTTCAGTCAGGTTTAGTTAATTGTATAGTTTGTAATCACTGAATTGTTTCCGTATTTTCCATCTACCTCTATTTTTACTTTCCCAGTTCAGGCTATCATTGCACCACATTTGGGGATTGCCCCTTTACACAGCTATTGGAGACAAAAGCAAAACCATTAAAACCAGGAGACCTGATCGCCCTGTACAACTACCTGAAAGGAGGTTGTAGCGAGGTGGGGGTTGGGCTCTTCTCCCCGGTAATGGGGGATAGGGCAAGAGGAAATGGTCTCAAGTTGCGCCAGGGGAGGTTCAGGCTGGACATTAGAAAGAACTTCTTCACTGTTAGAGTCGTTAGGCATTGGAACGGGCTCCCCAGGGAGGTGGTGGAGTCATCGTCCCTGGAGATGTTCAAAAAACGTTTAGATGTGGCACTTCAAGACATGGTTTAGTGGACAGGGTGGCATCAGGTGTACGGTTGGACTTGATGATCTTTGAGGTCTCTTCCAACCATAATGATTCTATGATTCTATGATTCTATGAAAATTCAGACAGCAGAGCGCTGTGGCCAGATACAAGCAGGCTATAAGCACCAAAAAAAAAATACTTCTCGGAGCTGGGAGAGATTGTGGAGTTGTGCTGGCTTGAAAGGACGGCACCATGTAGCTGCAGGCGTGGTGTTTGTTACCTGCTGAAACGCTAACATGCCTTTTCCTCCTTGAGGAAGGACTGGAAACAAGCAGCGTTGCTGGAATCCAGCACAGCAGTGGGATAGGATTTGCCCCAAGGTCCTGTGGCTTAGAAACACTCAGAGGGATGTTTAATCTGGGCTGCGAGGGCTGAGCTGTGGGAGGGTTGTGAGGCTGCTCCTTTCCAGCTGACGTGTGCTGCGGGCAGGCTCCTGCCCACGGCTCTGTCCCCGGCCAGCACGGGCTCCCCGGGCATTTGCTGCCCCCCATGACTGTGTGCGTCCCTCTGCCAGCTTCCATCAATGAAGACGAGCAGGGCATCATCCCGCGAGCCATGGCCGAGACCTTCAGGCTCATTGATGAGAATGACCTGATTGACTACACGGTCCGAGTGTCCTACCTGGAAGTGTACAAGGAGGAGTTTCGGGACTTGCTGCAGGTGGATACAGCCAGCAAAGACATCCAGATCCGGGAGGATGACAAGGGGAACGTTGGTATGTGTGGCTGCGCACGGGCTCCTTTTTCTCCCCGTGCCCAAGGCCAGGGTTGGGTTATCTATCTCTGAAGGCAGAGCCAGGTCTTCTCCCTTCATCCCTCTGTCCCTCTCCCGCAGCAGATTGCTATGCTTAGTCCTGTTTGGTGTGGAAAGCCGGTCTGTGCGTGGCACGGTACGGGCAAGGCGATGGCACCAGGCTGCACAAAGGAGCTGTGTCCTCGGGCAGCCCGTCCTTCCCAGCTACAGCTCCGTTTGCTGTTGCAGTGCTCTGCGGTGTGAAGGAGTCAGAAGTGGAGGGGCTGGACGAGGTGCTGAGCCTGCTGGAGATGGGGAACACAGCCAAGCACACGGGAGCTACCCACGTCAACAAGCAGTCGAGCCGCTCACACACCATCTTCACGGTGACCATGGAACAGCGGCGCAGGGCCGGCCGCCTCCCCCTCCACCATCCCCCCTCTGTCCCAGCTTCAGGCCAGGTCCTGGTTTCCAAGTTTCACTTTGTGGACCTGGCAGGCTCAGAGCGAATTGTGAAGACGGGAAACACAGGGGAGAGGCTGAAGGAGAGTATCCAGATCAACAGTGGCCTCCTGGCCTTGGGCAACGTCATCAGTGCCTTGGGAGACCCTCGGAGGAAGAGCAGCCACATCCCCTACAGGGACTCCAAAATCACCAGGTACAGCAGGGACCAGGACCCCCGGGTCTCACGGGCTCTTGGCCCAGCAGGAGGGACGTGATGCTTCTCCCTGCCTTTCCCCTGCCCAGCCTGCCAGGGTTGGTGGCAGAGTCCCCAGGCTAGCCAAGAGGAGCTTGCAGGGCTGGTTGTCCCTTCTGCTGTCACACCAGGGCTCTCGAATCGACTGCTTGATGGTATGGGGCCAGCTGACCCGCGGTGCCTCACAGCAGTTTACCAGTCTACCCTCTACGCAGGTTTTCACGTAGGGAAGCATGAGGAGCAATGAGCCCAGGATAGAAATGACAGACTAGCTCATTGCAGTGCTGCAGAAGACGAGGCTTGCATAAGTTGTGCTGCTGAAGCTGAGATGGGGTGTCACCATCGGTTATCCTGCCCTTCCTGCCTGGCAGTGAATAAAAAATGTTTCCAGTAGGCTTGTTTGATGGTCTGCAGTTAGTTTTTAGCTCAAGCAGGTGGCCTTTGCAATCTCCAACAGGTTCCCGTGCAGCACGTGCCTAGCAGTGATCACAACTCTGTGATCCCAGCCTCGGGCATTAATTCAGATGGAAGCTTGCCACAGTGGGAACCGTTATTCCTCTGTTGAATGCTTCTGCTCACTTCGCTAGTGCCGAACCAGCCACAGAGCAAGAATATCGTTTTCCTTGGGCTTAACCTCTGAAAAGGGTTGGAAACCTTCCGGTTCCTGCGTTATTTTATATTTCAGCTATTTTAATCGCTGTGCTCTTCCTTAGGATCCTGAAAGACTCTCTGGGAGGGAATGCCCAGACTGTGATGATAGCCTGCGTCAGCCCATCCTCTTCTGACTTCGACGAGACTCTCAACACGCTGAATTATGCCAGCCGAGCTCAAAACATCCAGAACAAGGCCGTGGTGAACTGCCGCAAGGAGACGGAGCACGTCGAAGAGCTTCACATGCAGATAAAGAACCTGCAGAAGACGCTGGAACAGCGGCACCGCTCCGAGACTCGTATCATCAACCGCTCGGCCACTGCCAAACGATGCGCACCAGACCCCACGGCTCGGCTACTGGCAGAGTGCGCGCATTACCGGACCTGCACCGATGCCGCGTACCGGCTGCTGATGGAGCTGCAGGAGGACAGTAACCTGACGGTGGAGCAGATCCTGCGGGTTAAGGAGTGGCTGTGCACGGTGGAGAGCGAGAGGAGCGAGCTGACCTCGGCTGGGCTGGATAGCGGCATCGAGAGCACCTCTGCAGAAGACCAGAGTCCCGAGGCACAAGGCTCAAAGCTGGCAAAAGCCCAGGTAACGGCTGGGGGATTGCAGCTCTGAGGTTGGGTTCATCTGATGACCACTGAAGGCAGCAGCCTCAGCACAGCGTGGTGGAAGGGTCAGGAGAGGGAGAGGAGGAGAAGCAACCTGGCCAAGAGGCAGAAGGATGTGGTCCTCCCAGCAAGCGGGGAGAACTTGGATTCAGCTGCAGCCGAGAGATTTATTTCGCATGAAAAAGCTGGGTCTGCAGAGCTGCTGTGCCCTTGCAGAGTCCAGCATGGGAAGGGAAGGACAAAGGCGGATGCTGATGCTGCGCCTCTTATGTTTTGGAGGGCAGGTGGACACCGAGAAGAGGCATGAGTCCATCAAAGATGAGCAGGTGGCCAAACTGCAGAGGCAAGTGGAACGCCTGGAGGAGGAGAACCGTGATTTCCTGGCTGCCCTGGAAGATGCTATGGAGCAGTATAAGCTGCAGGTATTTCTGGGCTCTGCTGTCTTTGTAGGGACCTGCCCCACTCCTCCTCTTCCTCACCAGGAGGGCGCAGCCCAGCTTTCGGGTCCCTTTGCAGCAGGTCTGGGATCCACATGTACGTAACCACATTTTTCTCATTGCTTCCTAGAGCGACAAGCTGCAGGAGCAGCAGGATAAGATCTCAGAGCTGCACGTGCGCTTGGAGATGGCAATGCCAAACCTGTGTGTGCCAGTGCTGCTGGAAGACCTTCACCTGGTGACCGCTGGCCAGAGACCTCACACGGCCCCACTGGATGCTGCCCCGTCCCACAGCCTCAGTGAGGTTCCCTCGGGGCTTCTTCCCACTGAGCAGAGTGGAAGAGCCCTTTGCAGGAAGGTGAGGGCACAAGTCTGTGCCGATGAGGGACTGCTGCCTTTTCACTTGGGTGCCCTCCACTGTAGGAACTGCTTTGTCCCTGCCGTTGAATGTGAACCTTGTCAGAGGCATAGTCCAGAGGACTGTGCTTGGTGTTTACATCCAAAGAGTTTCACAACTACAGCAAAAACAGCTGAGCTTGAAAACCAAGGCTTTTACGTTCATGTTACAGGGGGTCCCAGATTTGCTCAGCATCTGAGCAGCAGAAGGCAGGAGGGCAGGCAGCTGGGTCTAGCCACACACCAGTTCTGAAAATACGCTCAACTCCATGTTGTTGTTTTCCTTTGTGTCTAGCAGCGATGCCCAGCAGAGAGCTGCTTTTTCTAACACCGGCTCTCACACAGCGTGTTTCCTCTCTTTCTGATTCTCTGCCGCAGCAGCTCGACAGCAACCCCTCCTTCCAGGAGGAGGACCTGGTGGGCTGGCACCTGAACCACACGCAGTGCCCAACCGGCAATCCAAAGGTCAAAGATGTGGTGCTGAGGAGGGAGCTCAGCCAGGACTCAGAGGAGCCATCAGAGCTGTCCTCAGGAGAGGAGGAAGAGGAGTGGGAACAGAAACGGTCCCTGCCCCAGCGCCGGTGAGTTGAGGCTGTCCCAGCACTGTGCAGTGCCCTGGCAGTTGCATGACCTGACTGTCCCACCTCTGCAGCTCAGCTCTCACGTAGGATGTAGAAGCAAATGCTGCCTCTGGGGTCAGTGATTCTGCCGAGACAGCTGCCTGCTCGCTGGGGAGCTTATCACCAGCTTTCCTGACCACAGCCACTGTTTTTGTTTCCTTCTGAAGTCTGTGGACCATGAGGGTTCTTACTGGGAACAGCTCTAGCAGTGCCCAGACCCACCTGATTAATTTGCTGCTCCTTCTAGAAACAGGATCCAAAGCTGGAGCAGGAAAGAGATTTGCAAGTTGAACGAGGAACCGAGCGGAGGCAATGCCCACTCGATTCAGGAGGAGCAGCTGGAGCTGTCAAAAGGCAAGTGGCAGGACAGTCTTCCTCGGGCTGGCGGTGCTTTGCTGGGTGCTGTTGATGTCCCACCTGGATGAGCCCAGAGGACAAAAATGGAGCAGATGACAGTCTAGATGCTTTTGTTAAGGAGAAACTGGAACTGCTGGGGTCTGGCAAGAGCTGCATGTTTTGGTGGAAGCTGCAGGTGATGCTGGGCAATGCTGTGCCAGATCTTGGCTACAGATCTGAGATCGGATTGTCCTGCTGTCACCCAGCTGCTCAGACGGGACCTCCCTTACCCGGGAATCTGTGTTGCAGAGGTCTGTAGGAGGCGGGAGCTGTTTGGTCCCTGGGGGCAGCTGCCAAGGAAGGACTCTGAGTGGAGGCTGGTGCAAGCACAGCAGAAGATCCGAGAGCTGGCGATCAACATCCGCATGAAGGAAGAGCTGATCACGGAGCTCGTTAAGACAGGTGCAGAGCTGCTGATGGGAATATGCATCCATTCACCATGAAATCTCCTCCTAGTTGTGATGCTTGTCCTCTACTCCCATCCCCATCTTCCCTTCCTGTGTTCCTTGTGCGCAGTCCCTTCTCCTGTAGGCAGCAGAGCCCTGTCTCTCCATCCCTCTGGCTGACTGAGACCTTTTCCATTGGTTTCTCCCTTCCTTGGAGTAGCTGAGGGAAAGGGAGCATTCAGTCTCCGTAGCCAAAAATACTTGGCGAGGAGAGAGAGGAAAGGTCAATCCCTCGGCAGGATCCTGGCTGCGAGGGAAGGGGGCCTGGAGGTCACGGTAGGGGGGGGCTGTGTTGCAGGCAAGGATGCCCAGGCTCTGAACAGGCAGTACTGCCAGAAGATCAGCGAGCTGGAGCAGGAAGCAGAGCAGGTACGGGCAGAGCTGAACGACAGCCAGAAGCAGCTTCAGGAGCTGGAGGGCAAAGAGCCGTGGGACCCTGGGGAGAAGCGCAAGCTGCAGGAGTACCGCACACGCGTGGCAGCTGCGCAGAGCAAGGCACGGGTGAGTGGGAAGGGCTCTGCCCACCCGCAGAGGTGGGCAGGGGCAGAGTTGGGAACATCTCTGCAAAGGGCACGGGGGAGACGTCGAACCCAAAGGCAACTTCTGCTCTCCGGCAGGTTCTGTGCAAGAAGAAGCAGGCGACGGAGAGGCTGGTGTCACTCTCAGCCCAGAGCGAGAAACGAGTGCAGGAGCTGGAGAGGAACATTGAGCTGATGCGGCGGCAGCAGGGCCAGCTCCAGCGCCGGCTGCGGGAGGAGAGCGAGCAGAAACGGCGGCTGGAGACAGAGGTGAATAAGCGGCAGCACCGAGTCAAGGTAGGAACGGGCAGGAGCATCTTGTGCTACTGCAGTATTTGTGAGGATGATGATGGGTGGGCTCCACAAGCTTCTGGGCAGGACAGGGTAGCTCTGATGGGGTCTGTGATTGTCTTGGAGAGCACGGAGGTGGAGAGAGGTTTTGAGAGTATTGAAAGAGCTAGCAGAGAACATAACCTGCCCCTCAGCCCCTGTCTGTAGGGCAAACAGCTTCTGCCCCCTCAATGCTCACTGCTGCTCTTTGCAACACAGGAACTGGAACTGAAGCACGAGCAGCACCAGAAAATCCTGCGGATCAAAACAGAGGAAATCGCAGCTTTCCAGAGGAAGCGTCGGAGTGGCAGGAACGGC